TGTATTTTCCTCGTCATTTTTTTACGCGCAATTTGTTTATGAAACATTTCGTTTGTTGTTATTGCCGTTGCGCATGCTCTTTATGAATCACTCGAGGAGAGCCCTGATCCATCTATGTATGTACCTCCCTCACTCACTACTCAGCCGATGTTTTTAAGTTGAAGGCGACTTCAAAGTGCAGGCTGTCTTGGGAGCTTTTGTTGTTTCCGTATGACTCGACACGTCAAAGTCGAGATTCGCCAAGTTGAAGGTCAAGTTGAGACTTCCTCCCCGCCGCCCCGGTCGTCCCACTCTCTTTGTTTTGGATGATTCAGCGCCGTCTTATCGCCATTTAAGTGTCCTGGCACCTGCCGCACTCAGACTCACACTCTGTCCGTCTCTTTCAGTCGCACTAAAGCCGTCTCTTTTTGACTAAATCTGAAACGCGTATGAGTAAGCAGGTATTCTTAATGATAAACAGTCGCCGAAAGTAATTAAATATTTCGAATATAAACAAAACTACTTGTTGCTTGACAACGTGCTTCGGTAAAAGACAATGGAAAGCATACAAATAGGATCGGATTTAAAAAATGTCCAGTTTAAATACCAAGAAGTACGAATCTTTATGCGACTTTAAACTACCTATGACAAAAAATAATTGTTTTAATACTTTTAACATAATATTGAGGTAGGTTCTACCCTTATCCTTATTATCCTTTCTTTTGTGCTATTTCCGTGATCATGGCTGTACAACATACAAACCCCTTATTCATATATCATGTTCCTCGTGCTCAAAGGTTGTTGTTTCAGTTTCTGTTTCTGTTTTCGGTTCTGATTCTGTTGCCGTTTCTGTTTCTGTTTCTGGCCATGACTCAGAGGGAGTTGCGAGAGTTTCGCACCCTGGCACTGTTTGGGTTGACGTTGACCCTAGGGTCCAAGATCCGGGTCTTAATCATCACGAGGAAAAGTGAAATGATGCATTGGGCAAGCGGACATTGAGAGCAAGAACCAAAAAACGACGCGACAGGCAGTCGTCATTGTCTGGGCAAGACAGATATGCCATGCCCATGCCCCAAACACCATATAGCACCATACCATCCCGTACCAAAGGCATCCCAGCTGTCAGACAGTCGTCTGCCACTTGGCCCACTTCTGAGCCGAATTCACCAGATGACGCACCCGGGGGCCCGGCAATAAAAATAAAGAAAGCATCGCTACTGTTGCACTTAATCATACATTCATCGATGTGAGAATTCGGTGACTACCCAAAGTTGGCATTACGCATCGCCCCTTAAATGGAGTCACGACGCTCAGCCCTTTGGAATGGTGTACTGCCCCATTATAGACACGACTCCCCGGGATCTATGTGTATCAGTCATCCACAGTCATCGCCGGAAAATGCGCTCCGGTGAACTAAGTCCGTTTAGTCATATGGTATGGCGCTCTATTGGCGATTAGTAATTCCCCACAGCATATATGGCCGCATATTTGTCACGAACAATAAACAATTACCAAAGTGCCGCTTCCCAATAATCGAGCAAAAGCCTCCGCTTCGAGTTCCGTTTTCTGTGAACAAAATAAGCTTAGAAATATGCAAAAATAACTTAAAGACAAACAATCAAAAATTTGTTGATTTTCTTAATAACCATTATTAACCGTTTGAACCACACAGAAGATAATAAAAGAAGGGATAAGTAAAACAGTTTAAGTCGAATTTTTTTTCGAACTTTTTCAATTCTTAAACATGTATCCTTCTTTCATGTTTTGGAAATATTTTAAAATCCATTGGTTAACGTTTTACTTTTCCTAATTTGTAGTTATGTTTGAAATAAATTTGGTAGATTTAAAAAAGTTTATTTGGAAAATTGTCAGCTGTTTCGTTTAAGTGCAATGGCTTGTATACTAATCCTTCCGTTTTCTCAGTGCTTAAATTGAACTTGAGCCCAATTAGCTAGAACAACTTCATAGTGACTCAAACTTGAGTTTTGCGAAATTCATTCATCATTTACAGCTACTTCTTGCGAGTCTTTTGGGAGACTCCTCAGCCCCTGTCTTTATTCTGCTTTGGTTCTTCTAGCCCATATGAGTCATATGGTGTGTGGTGTGTGCGAGACAGGCGCGTTTACGGCGCGTTTTATGCGCGATTTTAACTGTCTGAGCGACGGGGTCATTAACTAAGAGGATTTATGAGCGCCGTGCGAACGAAACTGAACGGACCGGGGACGGTGACCAATTGTCTGCCATTGTACGCTTAATGACCATCTTTCTTTATCTATGCGGCTGTCTATTTTTGGCCAGCCTATAGATTGGTCATCTCTTTATTTGCAGCATTTGATTCCACTATTTGTTCACTCGGAGAAAGGTGACCAAGGTCTCCTATAATAATACTACATAGGGTTTTGAAAAAATTCTAATAATTCTCTTCTGTAAAACTGTTTTAATAACACACACAAGTAGGTACATAATAAAAAAAGTTATCACCTTAAAATCAGATAAATATTCAATTAATCGATTCAATTAATTAATTGATGATTCAAATATATATTATTGTTATATTTTCAAACCACAATTTCTTGGCTTTGAAACGTCAAGTTTAACTTAAATTTGTGAATCCCCTTTTAAAGCTAATAGCATGACATATTGCAGGGGCTTTTTTTTTTGTGAGTGTAGTCTCTGAGGCAAGTCCCCATTTGGGAACTCTGACGTACCTATTTCAGGTACGTTAGCACCTAGGAACCTCCATTTTCAATGGTAATCTTTGACTGGAAGTTGATTATTTTTTTATGATGGATTTTCCCCGGGACCGGTTTATAGTTGCCATATCATCAACACCATTGTCGTCCCGATAACACGGTTAACTCGATTTAAGTTCACTTGACTGGTGTGTAAACTGCAATTCATAATTGTAGTCGAAATTTGTGAAATCGAAGAATTGTGCGGTAGGGAAGGTTTCCTTATCGCTGTCTACTTTGCACCCCGCTCTATTCATTGATAAATCAAACACACTGTTATCTCACCTCTTCAGGTGGGTTAAATAGCGAAAAGGGGTGGGTCTTCGGGGGCTATATCTATCTGTTTCTATGTAGAGGAGGTCTGACAATATGGCTGCAATTCCGAGTGAGTTACACGCGCCTTCCAGATTTATCGCTGATATCACTTCCTTTGCTATACATGTATGGCAAAGAGGGCTTATAACGGTGGGGTGCAGTATGTGCACTGCGAGAAAAGGGGGTGCAGTCGGGGCGGTGGGCGCCTGCCGCCTGCCGCCTGCCTGGTGACTAACAAGACTTCGCTTCTGTCCGACTGGCGGTTATCAACTGTTTGGAAATCGGACAAGTGTTGCCTTGTTTGCATTATGAGTAAGCATCGATTAGGAAAGGCTCCCCCATTCCCCTATAAAAACCCCTCTCGGAATTCCCTATGCCCACCACCAACCTAAAATCACACCACAACCAATTCATGAGCGATAAGATAATGCTTATTTTTTTCGGTGGTGGCTTTTTAAGGTTACAGGCGAACATCTGTAGCTGAAAAATCACATTGACGATTGTAAAAATTTACTCGTTTACTTTTAATACCCAAATATTAAAAAACAAAAGTAGAATATTACAATTTAGTTAAACCACAGTTCGTAAAAGTTTTACTTGTGTATTTGTTATACAATTAAAGTTAAATAAAACCTTGAAATGACAACTTTTAAGTAAAATAATGTCAATTATACCCAAAAATCACTTATAAGGATAAAAGGGCTAAAAGCTGTCGTTTAAACTTGTAATATTTAAACATATTCTAAGAATATTATTTTTATTATTTAAAATGTGTATTATTTTTAAACAATTAAAAAGTTTGTCAATTGTGTAAATGGAACGGGGAATTATTAAAACTGTTTTTTTCTAAAAACTTTCTTATTACTAGCAAACCACTTTAGTGATTTTTTACTGTAGAATAATTTGTGAGCCTTGGAAAAAGTGCGACGTATGCTGCGTATTCTTCTTCCTCTTTCTCCGCTTATCTTTGGCCAAAAATAACAACGTAAATTATGAGTTAATGTGCCCACGTGTGTGTGTGTCAGTGAGAGGGTGTGTGTGTGCGCGTGTGAGGGTATAAAAATGTTCTGTCAATAAGCCTCGTTGCTTTGTTGTTGCCTCTGGCAATGATGATGACTCATATCAGCAAAATTCACACAGTTGAGTTGCCGAGCGGGAGAGTGGAAGAGCAAACCGGGCAAGAGAGAGAGAGAGCAGCACCAATACACTGAGAGTATTGACAGGGCGATATCAACACAACGACAACATCATCGAAGCTTCCACGTTCGAGATACAAAATTCGAAAAGTTTCTCCATCGCCAGAGATGCAAACAAAAATGTATAAATAGCTAAACAAACTGTTTAAGAAAAATCAATTTTAAAACTAAAAAACAAACCCAAAATCGTATATCATTGAAAAACGTATCATGCACGTTGGCACAAGAAAATATTATCTTTTTAAATACTTTAAAAATGGAACTAAATAAAAATTGTTATGAGCACCAGAAAGTCTTTTTTTTAAATTGTTTTAAAAAAATTGTTTGATAAACAGAATAAACTTTAAAAATGGAACTAAATAAAAATTGTTATGAGCACCAGAAAAAGTTTTTTTTTTAAATTGTTTTAAAAAAATTGTTTGATAAACAGAATAAATAGAATGTGCCATTATGTTATTTGCAAAGTGTTAAGAGTGGCTGAGTTAGCTTTGCTGATTGTTTTAAAAATTTTAATTTTTGTATACAAAATAGAAAACTTCAGTACTGCATTTGTTGCATTGGCTCTATATCCCAAAGCTGAGCTAAAGTTTTTCCGCAAGAATTCTAACATTTAGACAATATTAAAAAATTATGTATAATATAAAAACTTTTTCTGTCAAGGGCATAGTCAGATAAGATAACTCATTCACAGAGCATTTCCATCTTACCGAAAATAAAACCTTTTAGCGGCTTATCTATCAGTATACTAAAACGATTCTTTCTCTTTGATTTTTTGCAGAAGATGCACGGAAAACGGGTTCCCGGGTGCTGTTGCACTGCCACGCGGGGATTTCACGCAGCGCCACCATAGCCATCGCCTACGTCATGCGCTACAAGTCGCTCTCCCTGCTGGAGGCCTACAAACTGGTGAAAGTGGCCCGGCCGATCATCTCGCCCAATCTGAACTTCATGGGCCAGCTGCTGGAGCTGGAGCAGAATTTGCGCAAGAGTGGCATCCTGGCGCCCGCAACCCCGCTTCTGAATAGTCCTAGTAATCCGTCAGGATCTTCGGTGGGTTTAAGTACCTCGTCTAGTCAACTGGTGGAGCAGCCGGAGCAGGAGGAGATCGAGGAGAAGCGGGAGCAGCGGGACCGCGGCAAATCCAAGTCGGATAGCGAGGCCATGGACGAGGATGTGTACGACTACGACGATGTGGACAGTGGTGCCGGCAGCCTGGCGGGCAGTAATTGCTCCTCACGACTAACCTCACCGCCGATTACACCGGAAGACGAGGCGCCCAGCACTTCGGCGGCAGCTTCCACAGTCTCTGAACTGGATTCACCCAGCTCCACAACCAGCAGCGGAATCTGCACCCTGCTGCAGTCCACCAGCTCCTCCGAATCCTGCGCAATCAGCAAGCCAAACCTGCTGTCGCCCACGAGGCAGCTGGCACTGTTTAAGCGGAATTCGCCCGCCAAACTGCGATTAAATCTGGAGTCCAGTTATGCGCCCGCGTCACCCATCCCAAAGTCCATGCTCCATACTCCCGTCTGCGAGGAGGCGCCGGAAGGCAGGAACATCCATTTGGCCGGCAACTCGACGAGGGACTGAGATAGGATCCCCGCGAGAAGTCGCCGCCAACTAGCAGCTGTGAAACGAAAAAAAATGTACAGCCAATTGCCACATTCTTTATGATCAAAATCAGATTCGATAATACTGTACTTCTCTTTAAAAACATGTAAAATATGACCACGTTTTAAGTTTTTTATCACTTTTGAACTACTAAAACTTAAGAATATTTTACCTGGCTGTAAGAAAATATGGATTATATCAAATCAAAAACGGCAAGAGGGCTGCTACTTCCTATACAAAAAGGTGATGCTAAATGATTTAGGGTCACCTGTGAAACGTGTAAATAAGAACGTTCATAAACTGTACATACAAGCGTACCTAAAACGAAACACACATGGAATAGGAATACAAATTGCAGCTTAAACTACTTGCAATACTTGTTAAAGGCTTTTGTAATGTATTTCTTCGCAACCCTGAACCAACACAGAACATAACAACTAAAGTAATCCAAAACAACAAACTGGAGAAATTGTTTGAGAAGAAAAACAAACCTCGTATATGTTAATTTAGTTTAATTTTAGTCGTAAGCGAAACTTAACTATACCTACTACACACATAAACTATATTAAAATTCACATAGAACAATGAAAATCCAAAATGCACTGCAACTATTTCTGCTGACTTGCCACACAACACGTACTCCCCTACCCAACTCCCAAAAATATAAGAAACCCCGCCATATACACAGCAAAGATCTTATCAAAACTGTTCTAAGTTTTATCAATCCGCTATAGCCACACCACACTATAAACTTGCATGTAATTTAGTTACTTCTTGAAAGTGAGGAAAGTTTGTGTTTTCTAGTTTTAGTTATTTATATAAAAGAGCGCGTGAGAGTATAATGAATGCGATTTAATTCATTTGAATTAGGCAGTAAATCTAATAGGCTAAGCTACACTCGAAATGTGTAACCCGTGTGTTAAGTAAACGGAAATTATAATAGTAACCAAACCAACTTCTGTTTTTATTTAAATTTTCAAACAGGACCGCCAAAGTGGGGAATAGTTCTGCACAATTCGGAGTTCTGGGGACCTAACAACACTGGTTTGCTACTCTGCTAAGGAGACCTGAAAACATCGATAGCTATCGACTCAAGTATATCGATATCGGTTGAAATACTTATGGGGGAATCCCAAAAGTACTAATACTTAATTATTTCAATTAAAAATGAGTATATTTTGCGAAACTATTTCTGATTATTTAGTTTAATGTTCTTTAAATGTAGCTCACGTCATTTGACTATTTATTTGATTTTGTAATTTGTATTTGTCATATTTTTGATTACCAGTCTATTAATAACAAATACCGAAAGTAATCGATCCAGCCCTGGCTAAAATACAACCCTGATCCGAAAGCGTCGGTCAAAGCGGTTCGTTTAATTGTCCCTTTCCTCCGTTTGCAAAATAAAATGGTGTAAAAGAAAGAAAAAACAGGTGAGTAAAAAAACGAAGAAATATTGAATGCTTAATCGGTTCTTTGATATTCACTGCAGCTTCTTTGCTTAAATCTTCGTGATATTTTCGCTGTGCAAGCTAAATTTTGAGCCACCAAATACACGCATACAAGCGAAAAGTTTACCGTTTGAAATCGCACAAGTGAATTGCAAAGTCGGCATTTTTCACGTGTGTTCCCGGATTTAATTTCGTTAAATCCCAACAAAATAAAGCGCCGAGCGGATTTCAAGATGTCCGAACTCGATTGGGACGATCCAAATTATGTGGAGGCACCTGTAAAGATTCAGGAATACTCCAAAATGAATGATAAGTACGAGAGGAGCCTGAGACGCGATGATAATTCACGTGAATACGGAGGCGACAGGCATCGGGATGATTACGGCGGAGGAAGGCGTAATAATCGTGATAATCGAGGTAACCGTGATGATTACGGCGGAGGACGCCGTGACAGCCGGGATGACTACGGCGGTGGACGCCGGAATGATCGCGACAATAGGGATGATTACGGTGGAGGAGGAGGAGCTTTTAGCGAATCCCTGAGCATCGCAGCCGAAATGGTCGGAAAAGTCATTGGCAGAGCCGGCGCCAATATCTCCCGGATTCAGACCGATTTCAATGTTCGGGTTAAGGTGGACCGATGTGATTTGATGGTCAAGATATCCGGCAGCCTTCAGAGCAACGTCTCCGATGCCATAAATCACGTTCGCAAGCAGGTCAGCAGTGATTCCGGGGATAGAGATCGGGATAGGGATAACAGGGGCTATGGTGGCGGAGGAAGCTATGGTGGCGGCGGTGGACGAGGAGGAGGAGGAGGCTACAATGGCGGTGGAGGCAGCAGCGGGGGATATGGCAGAACCAAGGGTAGCCCGCCGGCTTCAAAACCTATTCCGGATGATGGCGATCTCACCGGCACCATTGATTGGGCAGGCCTAAATGCGGCTTCGGTAAGTGAAAACCGACCATTAGAAAGCCATATTAAATACATGTTATGTGCATTAAAAACACATATTTTACCCCTGGGTTGCAAAACGAATTCTTTGGATGACTTCAGTACTTCACAAATGTATTCTAAGCTCGTGACACACGAGAAAAATCCAATCCTAAACCCCCTTTAATTCCCTACAGGAAAGAGCTACTGCAGCTCGCTGGGCCAAGTGTCCAGTGCTGACAAAGAACTTCTACAAGGAGGCGCCCGAGGTGGCCAATCTTACGGAATCCCAGATCGAAAGCATTCGCGCGGATAACAACAAGACCACGGTGTCGCACGTTTTCGAACCGAAGGAGGGTGAAACTGCTGTGCCCATTCCCAATCCGGTTTGGACTTTCGAACAATGCTTTGCCGATTACCCGGATCTACTGGGCGAGATCACCAAGATGGGCTTTTCCAAGCCCTCGCCCATCCAGTCGCAGGCGTGGCCCATTCTACTCCAGGGACACGACATGATTGGCATCGCCCAAACGGGCACGGGCAAAACTCTGGCCTTCTTGCTGCCCGGAATGATTCACACGGAGAACCAGAGCGTGCCCAGGGGTCAGAGGGGCGGGGCCAATGTCCTGGTGCTGGCACCCACTCGGGAGTTGGCTCTTCAGATCGAAATGGAGGTCAAGAAGTACCCCTTTCGCGACATGAAAGCGTGAGTATCATCGATAGCAAAGAATGCTAATACTAAGGCAATAAGTAATCAATAATTTGTACTTATATTAAATTAATTTTCAGTGTTTGCGTCTATGGCGGTGGTGACCGTCGCATGCAGATCTCGGATTTGGAGCGCGGTGCGGAGATTATCATTTGCACGCCTGGACGTCTCAACGATCTAGTCCAAGCTAACGTTATCGATGTGAGCACCATTACGTATCTGGTTCTCGATGAAGCGGATCGCATGTTGGACATGGGCTTTGAGCCACAGATTCGCAAGGTGATGCTGGACATCCGTCCGGATCGCCAGACGATCATGACGTCGGCCACTTGGCCGCCGGGAGTTCGCCGCCTGGCGCAGAGCTACATGAAGAACCCCATTCAGGTGTGTGTCGGCTCTCTGGATCTGGCGGCCACGCATTCGGTGAAGCAAGTGATTGAGTTGCTGGAGGATGAGCAGGAGAAGTTCCGCACGATTAAATCGTTTGTAAAGAACATGACTAAGACGGACAAGATCATCATATTCTGCGGACGCAAGGCTCGCGCCGATGATTTGTCTAGTGATCTAACTCTAGATGGTTTTATGACCCAATGCATTCATGGTAATCGCGAGCAGAGCGATCGTGAGCAGGCTATAGCTGACATAAAGTCTGGAGCTGTGCGCATTTTGGTGGCCACCGATGTGGCATCTCGTGGCTTGGACATAGAGGATATATCGTAAGCAAATATCTTTGTTTTTATTTCAAACAACTGTTAATACTTTTCCTCTTTTTCTAGTCATGTCATCAACTATGACTTTCCGCGCAACATAGAGGAGTATGTGCACCGAGTGGGTCGCACAGGACGTGCTGGCAGAAAGGGCACTTCGATTAGCTTCCTTACGCGCGAGGACTGGGGCATGGCCAAGGAGCTGATCGACATCCTGCAGGAGGCGGATCAGGAGGTGCCCGACGAGCTGCACAACATGGCCAGGCGTTTCAAGGCCATGAAGGAGAGACGCGCTGCTGAGGGCGGCGGAGGAGGTGGCCGCTTTGGTGGCGGCGGCGGAGGACGCGGTGGCGGACGTGGCGGCGGAGGTCGCAATTTCGATAGCTTCAGCTTCTGATTGAATATTTAAGCTTGCATTTTGTAGTTATTAGAGACCACAGCGCATTGAAGTGCCTTGTAATTTTGTTGACAAAACGTTTAACGGTTGTTCTATCTAAAATTGGAAATAAATACCTTGTTGGGGAAGTCAAAATGAGATCTGCGTTGTGCATTTAGGTTTAAAAGAACAATTCAGAATTTAAATACAAATCCTAAAGTAGTTTGCATTTGAGAGTCGTTCTATTTACCAGTTTATTATGTGCGATGTATATTTTGAAACTACTTTTTTCTCTTCCAATCAAGAAATCTTTTAAACGACGCTATGTTTAAATAGTTTCACCTTTCCAAGAGAAAAATTCGTTACAGTGAAGATTTTGAAAACCAAACTAAGAATTTAAACGTTTTATTGAGTTCAGTTGGCGCCACCGGCGTATTTCTCCAGGAGCTCCTGTTTCCGCTTGCGCAGCAGTGCCTCCTGCACATCCTGTTGCGTGGGCACGGGCACATGGGCGGTGAATTTGGGGGCCAGCAGGCCGTGCGGATCCTCCACTGCAGCCCGGGCCTTGGCATCTTCGATGGCTTCCCGAACGGGTCCTGAAAGTGGATAAATTTCATCCTCCTCCTCGTCATCATCGATTATGCGACCATCTCTGGCCATTTTGTCGCGCCATTCCTGCACTGCCTTCTGGATGGCAGCTCGTTCGATGCGTTCCTCCAGAGGAATCAGGACACCATCTTCATCGTCTCGATAGCCATAGTACTCCGCATCTATATCTTTCATTAGTTCAGCGCGCGATTTCCTGGGCGGCGGCGGAGGATCCTGTTCGAAGAGCTCTCGAACTCCAGGCAAATCTTTGGCGGCTCCAAAGTACTTGTAACCTCGATTGCCGGGAACTTCGCGACCCTCGGCATCGAACATTTTGGGACCATAACGTCTATAGTGAGGTCCGCCCAGGGCAGATATCTGATTTTCCCAATGGCGTTTTTCACGCAGCAACTTGTTGATTTCGTCGTTGAGATCGCGGATGCGGAATTCACCCAAACCGGCTGAAAATAGTGTGTGTAAGTACATTTTATAAGCAATCCTAACCCTGGTTAATACCATTTTGTATCTGGGCCACCTTCTTGGATATCTCGCGTATAATCTCCAGTCGGAATTTCTCACATCGGGGCAAATCGTGGCATTCGGAAGCCAAATAAGGTCGGCGTTCCTTTTCGCCGGATTCTACTTCCTTGGCCGCCCGCCAACGTGCCAAAGTTGTCCTACGGGAAATAAGTCATTATATATTACTATTCTTATGTTTTTTGCACTCCAGGCTAACTTACATTGCCTTCTCTGCATTGCGCGCCTGAAATTACACATTTGTTATACATTTTAATTGCAAATTAATAAATATTTCGCAGACTTACCATTTTGTTTACTATCTTCTTCTGCCAAAACTGACATTCACAACGAAACCAAGAGCAATCGATGACACACTTATCGATAGGCTATACAGTAAATATTCAATACAGAAAAATCCCATTACTTCATTAAACATGATTAAAAGTTTAATTTTGCTACAGTTTGTACAATTTCAATTAATATAATAAATGTTAAATCGATGTTTTTGGTGGAATAAATTCATAAATTAAAATTGCAGGTACTTATTTGGGTACAAAAAAGTTTTTTATTGAGATTGTTCAAATTTATTATAAGATCAAATAAAAGCAATATAATTTTTTTCACAACTTTATAGTTTGTTTTAAGTATTTTAGTAGAATCTTTTACCATTCACCAGGAACTGCCAGTGTTGGACAAACTCCCCCATATCAGCAGTGTTGGTTTTTCGGCACTCCCTCGCTTTGGTCACACTGACCTGACCAGTTGTTTTTTCACGCCAACGCCATTTACGCTCTTTGGAAACTCTTTTTCGCAAATCCAAGCAGAAACAGGACAAAAACACACCTGCCCCAGGATGTTGGCCCTTATCAACAGGATCCTTGAGTGGTTCAAGAGCATCTTCTGGAAAGAGGAGATGGAACTGACTCTGGTGGGGCTGCAATTCTCCGGGAAGACGACGTTCGTCAATGTTATTGCAGTGAGTATTTCGCAGGGCGGTGTGTGCGTTTGTGTGTGTGTGTGTGTGCGAATTGGCAAGTGTATGGGTGAGAGGGTGGTTTTTTTTTTTTGTGAGGGGAAGGGGGCTGTTGGTGGAGAGAAAGCCGGGGGATCAGCTATGACTAAATGTCGGTTAAAGTATAATACAAACCCCCAAATCACAAAGGAATTACATACCTTCCCCAACTTTCCCTTTGTTTATATTATCTTATCTCATACACCATACACCCCTCATTTTCTCTCACTGCATCAATAATTAACGCTGTGCTAAACGTTTTATTTTAGTGGTAAAGTTTACCGTTCCTGCCGCCCGTAATCAATAAACCAATATATACGCATGTTCTCCGCATAAATGACGCCATTATCACTGGGGGCGACCCTTTGACCCCGCCCCTTTTGAGCCTTCCCCCAAATGCCTCTTTGTATATTGTCACCCATTTCTGCACACGCTGATAAAGCCGCGATCTGAACGCTTTTCCATCTCGCAAATCGAATTTCCCGGGGTTTTCGGAGGTGGAGTTACTGCCTTTGTGACCGCCTGACTTATGAGTCATGTGAGCCATTGAATTCGAGCAAAATGTACCCGCATCCCCAGGATTTAAACGTGGAAATTTGTTTGCTCAAGTGCTCCAAAAGCGGGAATTTTCCCCCGCTTATCACTGCCATTAGACTCCGTGTAATCTACTGTTTACGCAGATTCATCCACTACTGATTGCAAACCAAGTTGAGGTTGACAGACATTTACTTTTACCCTCCATAGAACGGAATTAAAAGCTTTTCAACAAAATTTATAGACCAACTTTTCTCTAAAAAGTTGCATCCAATTTAAATATTATTAATATACTTAACTATGGCATATCTTATTCAATTATAACTGGGTATATAAGTGCAACATTCTTATCACATGATAAATTAGTATTTCAGGTGGTTTTCCATATTAATTTGATTCATAGTATAGATTTGTCATGCTTATTCTGTGTTCTGATTTCATATCCAAATTTGACTACAAAAACATTAATTTGTAAAAATTTTAATCCCTCTACAGAATAATAGCTGGCTTTAAGAGTCCTTAAGAGTGTTAAGATTTCCCGGTCTGGGTTTAATCCTAATAATACTTGTGGCTCTCCATTTAAGAAATTTTAATGGTTTTTAAATTGAATTTTAGAATTGGTCAATTCAATTTAGAAAGTTACGAATTCAAATTTTCGTTTTAATATTCAGCTATTCACAGATAAATCTCATACTTCAGTTGGTTTACTTTCACAAAATTGTTTGCTTTGTTTACAGTCTGCTATTTCAAATTCAATAACACAACAATTTCAATAAACAAATGGAGTCGGCTTATAATAACACATATCAACAGCTTTTTAATTTGGTTTTCACAAGTCTAAAGGCCAGATTCTTAGCAATGTACTTTACCCGCTACCCAGTTAAAATCAAGTTTCAAAGCGTGTTTTAAATAATAGTTTTTCAATATAATTTTTTTGTTTAAATCAGCGTCATGTAAAGAATGTAATTTTACACAAAGCTTACATACATTTCTAGTATGTTTTAGTTGCATACTTTTGGGCTTAATCTTCTGGTATGAAGTTGCACTTAAATATTTACAATTGTCTGGTTAAATAATAAATAAAATGTTTTTATTATCTTGAAAACAATAAATATACTTAAGTTTTATAAATATTTCTTTCCTAATTTCAGTCCGGACAATTCGCTGAGGACATGATACCCACAGTTGGCTTCAACATGCGAAAGATCACCCGGGGCAATGTGACGATCAAGGTGTGGGATATTGGTGGCCAGCCCCGATTCCGATCCATGTGGGAGCGCTATTGTCGCGGCGTTAATGCGATTGTGTAAGCAATAATACCACTTAAGCATCAAAAGAATCCCATTAACACTTAATGTATTAATCAACAATAGCTATATGGTGGATGCAGCTGATCTGGACAAATTGGAGGCCTCGAGGAACGAGCTGCACTCACTATTGGACAAACCGCAGCTGGCTGGCATTCCAGTGCTCGTGTTGGGCAACAAACGTGATCTTCCAGGCGCCCTCGATGAAACCGGGCTCATCGATCGCATGTAAGTAACCAAAATATAGAAAATCACAAATCAAAGATTTATGATTAATACCGAAATCCTATTTCCAGGAATTTATCGAGCATACAGGACCGTGAAATCTGCTGTTACAGTATTTCCTGCAAGGAGAAGGACAATATTGACATTACGCTGCAGTGGTTAATTCAACATTCGAAAAGCCAAAGTCGTTAGATAACGAACACCTACACACACACGCCCCTACCCACAACACTCACACACTTAGGCACTATATCTCACACAGAACAACTATATATACACATATACACTAATAATAATTTGCAGAGTGATGAACAATGAGCAAAAAGCCAGCAGTAAGCCAACTATTTGTGGTACAAGATTGAAAACAAAAAAACAAAACTAAAACTAAAACACAGCGAGTAATAACTATGCCTTGAAAAATCTGTTTGTATGGTGTGTCTGCATGTATGTTGTATGTGATTTCGCAGTGCAGGGTTCGGGTGCTCGACTGTCTCGAATTTGTAGATTCACAAAGGGAAGATGCTTAAATGAATTCTGTGTACGTTGTAAGTTTTGTTAGTTAATCTATATGCCGATACACACAAACACACACATACACAAGACAACACACATGACACGCTCGTGTGTATTTAGTATTTCATTCTGGCTTGATCGACCAATTATCCCCTATATATGAATGTCGCCTCTACAAATATCGTTGCCCGTCTCCACGTTTAGTTAGACTTATGTTTAGTGTTGATTGGTGTGATTATTTACATATTATTTTTATAATTTTTGTATACAATATATAATTTACATTTCGCTGATACGCTTCTATGCAGATTATTTATTTATAACTGGAATTTTTGCTTAGCGAAAACAGAAAACAAAATATGGAAGCAACGGAAAAGTCTAAACTATGAAGACGTTTTAAACTATAAATATATATTTAAACTATATGAATGTAAAATCAATTAAGCAAGCGCAAGCCATAGTTAATGAAATTCCATGATTGATTGTAAAATATACAAAAACAAAAAAATAAGAAATTGTTGAGTTATTCTAGCTGCAGCCAAAAAACAAAACAAAGAACCCCAAATTGAGATCCTTAAGCCTTGTCACGCTTTTCCTATACTCATTAACATTCACCTAGTTAATTATGATAATTTATATGAAACAGCAATGCAAATTATAAACTACAATAACCAAAATCGAAAACCGAAAACTGAAAACGAGCAAGGCATACAAACCACAGCGAGAAAACGAAACAAAAATGAAAAATGAAAACCAATAAAGACAAATTATAAAAACATTACAAAAAACCCGATTGAGTCTCATAAATTACGACTAAGTGAGATTGCAGCGATGGCGAGAGCATCAAATATTCCAAACACTTGTTCGAATGTAATTTATAGAGGCAGTATATGGCCACCCAAATGCAGACGTAGCAGGTTAACAATTGATAGATGCAGACAGCCCTATGGACGCATAAATATCGGGAAACGAGGAGGAGCCCTTGGCTAATTAGGAATTCTGTGTGCAGAATCAAGGCATTTGCTACCGGAGGACGGCGATGGAGGAACAGGGGGTTCTGGCTTCCAGGAATACGTGTCGAGCACGAGCCGTGTGAGTGAGTCATGATCAAATATTCTCATGTCCCATGTCCGGGAAGCTTCCTGCTTCCCTGCTTCCTTTGGAAATCCCAAATCCAATGCCCCACACTACGCGCGCGTTCGTTGCCTGAGTCTTTCGTTTTCTGTTCGCTCGCCTCATATTTCAAATTGCGTTAATTACACTTTTAAATGCGGGGTATTAACAGTGCCTGCGATAAGCATCTCTCTTCGCGGCCATTTGCCACAAGCCAAACATTTCGGCCATAACTCGAGGCGAATCTCCGAAAAAAAAATACGGCTAACGACGTGCTCGTAAATTTTCATACCAAAACTATAAACAAACATAAACAAGCTGAAAACATTTACGAACATTACGCATATATGCCTTCTGCTTAGATGTCGTTTAAAATCGTAAAGACAAGTGGACAGTGCGGCTCATAGCCTTAAAACAAAAACTTCAAAAAAAACTTAAGTTAAACAAAAAATTGTCTCGTGTTTGTCATTTAATTAATCAACTGATTTGTTGACTGGTCTTAAATTGCAAGTGATTTTATCTGATCTCAAATTGTCAAAGCCAATTGATTTTTTCCCTACGATAATTAATCATTATTTATAGGAGCTAAAATGACTGCTGAATCAATTGGATAAGTAATTGGACTCGTCAAAACAAGTTTGTTGGATTTATTTCATAATAACTTATTCTTTTCTTCTTTAACTTCATGACCACTACTGCTTTTTTTTGTGTGTAAAATAAAAGTGATATTCTGCCACAAAGGCAGACGGTGCTTAGTTCTTTCTGCTTAATTTTCAGCGATTTGTGCGACTTGTGCTGATTATATAATGACATATAAAACATGCCCAAACAACATTTAAATTTGTTGTAGCTGTTTTTTTATATTTTCGCAGACCTCATCGAGCCAGATCCATTCATTTGTATGCGCCACAGTTGCCATCATCGTGACTCCTTTGATGAAAAGCCGTCAACAAATGCAAAATAAATAAAAGCAAAAAAAAAAAAAATGGAGAAAAGAATGAGCAAATCACATTAACAAAAAACTAGGCGGGGTGTTGACCATAAATTTAAGCAGAAATACTTAAGTTATATTTTCAAGATAATTTATTAGTTTGTGCTTAAGGGTTTGGCTTGTAAGATTAACTGATAACTTTTTATTAGAAGGGGGAATCTAAAATTTAATGCCTCTAATCAAAAGATTTTTGAAATCATTATGAGTTTAACATATAGTATATATTTTATTTTCCTATTTATTTTTGGAACTAATCCTGTTATTTGTGTAAATCATATATATTTAAATATAAATTTACCAACTCATATTAACTTTCTTAAGTGAACAGTTTCCAAAGTTTATCTGTTAAACGCTTTTGAGAACGAATTTAAATTAAAAAAAATTATCAATATGATCAATAAAATTGTAAAATGTACTTCATCCCTAGAACAAACAAATTCAAAGCTGCTCCAGCAATGTGGTTATAGTAAACATGAAACAAAGTCAACCCAAGTCAAGTCAGTATAATATATTTTTTTTCTTAACCTTTTCCCCTTCGCCCTTTCTAGCCAAATTGTTCTTAAATATATTTTAATTGAAGGCCCCCACAATGGTTTCTGCACGAGGCCACCAAAAGTGTGTCTGGCCCGAACATGCTGTGCCACCTGAAAAGTTCCTGGAACTGTGGCAAACGAGCCCCTGCCCAGAAACAATAACACGGAGCTGGAGCTGTAGCTGTAGCTGGAGCATAAAGTTCAGGCCTTAACAAGATGGAACAAAAGGCTGTCTGACTGGATGCTCTACCGCGTACTCGCCAGACTCGTGGGCAACAGTTTTCATGTTTGTCGCTTATTTTGCTTTATTTTCTTGCAGACTGTCAGTGGCAGGATGCCCAAGAGGAGGTGAAAAGGGGGCCAGCCGAGACGCGACGACAACTTGGCTGACAACAGGGCGAATGCAAATAAGTCTGCTCATTTCTGCTGAATTTGCTAAACTCCCGGCGACTGCTGATTTCCACCTCTGCCCACTTGATTTATCTGGCATTTTATTGGCCAGCGCCATTTGCTTTGCGTATGCAAAGACTAGACCATAATTTACGCATCTTCCCGACTTCTTTTTTTTTTTTTGGTTTTTTTTTCCCGCCCTAATAAAGTTCTCTCAGGTGTGAACACTGGCCACTCCACCACTTGCATACGAGGCAGCTTAATTGATGACAACATCTTGGAATTTTCGTTGGTATTCCGCATCGAAGTTGTCGCCAAGTCTTTTGGGGCCCAGCTGCTATGGCTGGATAACTGGCTGGCTGGCTGGATGGCTGGATGGCTGGCTGGCCAACTGCAAATCAGTTAAATAATGAAACATTTGCACGATACTGGCGAATCGAATCGACGGAATCGGAATCGGTATCGCGAGCCCAGGCTTTTTGGCCAAGGATAGCGAAGAGAGTAAAGCTAAGGCCAGCACAACTCGGCAGCTAAAGCTAAAGCTAAAGCTAAAAAGCAGCCTCAACAATCAGCACAATCCGCAGTTGTATGGTGCTACATATCGTACAAGATTTCCGGGAATTGAAAACTGCTAAAAATCGTGTTTGATTTTATACGTTGTTGTTGTTGCCGTTGCTGTTGCCGTTGCCGTTGCTGTCCGCTCCTTATGCATGCAATTTTAAGCTGAGGATTGAGGAGATTTTGGGTCTCGTAGGGGAAAGAAGGGATCGCTGCAGCATCTACGATACGCGTCGTGGTTCAACATGCAATCGCAACAAACGAAAGCAGCTTGTTAACTAATTAAAACCAAAATATATGCAAATCAAAGGCCCCAAAAAGAACCCAAAAGGAGACTTCTTTTCATCGTCTGCCTTTTTTCTCTGGATAGCTACTGTTTTCGAGTTGGAGTTCTTTTCTCCGTCGCCTTTTTGTCAACGATCTTTTTTCGGGGGCAATTAAGCCTGGCAACGAAGAGTCGTCGCTGCCATAATGCTGCAAAATCGAGAACTAAATAGCACAAAGAGCATTGTGCAAAAATTAATTGCAACATTTTGAGCAGGGACCACCGCCACCACACCACACCGCCGGAATCCTGCTCCAAATGCAATCAATTCAGTATGGATTTCTGGCGAAGCAATCGATGCGGATTTACGAGTCGCCTGCATTTTGCCTTTTCGAGCCAGCCATTTGGCCCATTGTCGAGTGTCCCCCAGAGGGCTTGAAGATGATCCTACACGCGGAGAAAAACTACATGGCATTTGACACATATTCGCAAAAAATAAACCGAAAAAGCTATAAAATTTACAAAATTTGTTTAGCGCTTACGTTTTTTTCTAGTGCCAAATGCAGTTGGTAATACACCATATCTTTCTGCATTACACAGATTCTAAAGATTATGAATTATTATCCTGATAAGATGTCTTTTTGAAAAGTTTTAAATTTTTAAAAATTTTAAAGTTCCTATGTATGTTATTATTCAAATATAACTATTTTTTTCTAAGTATCGATATACAACTTAAAAGCTCTTCTTAAAATTCTAAAGATATCTGTAGCATTTAAATGACGTTTTGGGCTGGAGTTACGTTCATATTGATTTGAGATCCCTTGAAATGGTGTTTATTTGTCAGTGTATGATATGGTGGTGGGTGAGCAGCTCCATCCGCCGTCGTGGTCTTGTGTCTTCTGCTTAGGTGCGGACATATGTAAAACAAGCCATGAAACAACCGGCTGGGAGCAGGACTCTCCGCATTCGCATTCGCAGTCGCGTTCTCATTCGGATTGAGATTCAGTTTCGGAAGTGAAATTTATTTTGCATACGAGACCATTCGCCCCACAGAGGAGCCATGGCCAGCCATTGTCTTTTGTCGTCGTTCGGGCATCCAATCTGAGGATGGTGGCATCGAGCGGAGCACTTTGTGGGGTCAGCCGGCAAGTGCTCCTGGGAAACTTTTCGCTCGGCGCATATATCAGGAATGGGCCAAGGAGCCGATTGTCACTGGGAAATTATCCAATTTTGTGGTTTGCATTCAAATTGAGCACCGCCGTCTGTCAATTTACCAAAGGGCCCTTTTGCCAAATCGGGGGGGAGGAGGCGGGGACAGAAGGAAGAGGACTCGGATTCGAACTCGGATTCGGACGAGTAGCTGTCATGTTGATGAATGCAATTGGCAATTGCCTCCGGAGCGCTGGTGGTCGCAGTTCTCAGTTTATTTCGTCCCGTTTCGTTTCGATTCGGCTCGGTTTTGGGTTAAACTCAGCTCGAGGGGTTCAGCCGCCCGAAATCATAATCGCGATCTGGCCGCGATCCCGATTTCGAACCCTTTTATTGCCTGCTTCCGGATATCCAAGACCATAAAATGCATGCCCAACGCTGTTTATTAATTGCATCAAGATCAACTCGCCAACGCCGCCAGCTTTAAAAGCACCAGCAAAC